CTCCGATGGATTTACTCCTACGAAGTCAGGACATAGTCGAAGAGTGTTCGGAGCGCGCCCATGTTTCCGGCGTACGCCGTCTCGCCGACATGGTTCTCGTCGGAGGAACCTCGAAAATACCGAAGCTGCAGAAGCTCTTGGCGGATTTAGTCGGAGGTGAGAATATCCGTAAGAACATCGACCCTGTTAAGGCGATCGCATTCGGGGCCCACCTCCTCTGCAAAGACACTCAGCTCAATAGGGTTGCGAAAATAAGGTTTCTTGATTTCATGCACTCGAACATCGGAATCAAGATCGGAGCAGGAGGAGGAGCGGGGGCGGTGGAGGTTTTGATCGCGGAGAAGACGGTGATTCCGGCAAAGACAGTGCGGTTTCTGACGACTTGCTTCGAAGCTCAGTCGGATATGCAGATTCGGTTGTATCACGGGACGAGGGTTCCGATGGACACGAGCAACAGTAGTAAAATAACGGAGCGGAACTGGAGAATTCCAGTGGCCCCACAGGGCACCCCACGGGTGAAACTGCGGATCGAAATCGAGTATCTCACTCTGTCTGTGTGGATTATGGACAACCTTGTTTTCGAGACTACCAATCTGTGGGGGGCTCCAAGGTGATTAACACAAACAAATGTGTGTGAGAGAGAGAGATTGAGTGCATTTTTTTTAACATTTGCAGAAGTTGTAATTGATTTTGAAATCAGTAATTGATCATGATTTCATACATGCAGCAAGATTTTACATGTATTGAATCGATTTTCCTTTTCGATTTCCTTTTCGGTTTCTCCACATATACATCTTCACAATCTGCCGTAATTTGATAACGATGGGCCAATCGATAAATATAGAATTATCTTTCTTGAATGCCCGATTTTTATACCACTCCTCAATAAAGCCGTCAACTTGTGCATTCTCTCTCTCACGACTTTTCCGAAAATTCGGAAGCTCGAAACAAAGTTGCCACTGCTTTTTTGGCTCATCGATCTGGAAAGCACGTAATGAAATTATCCTTAAATATATTAACTTTTCTAATCGCTGGAATCATATAAACTATTTTAAGGCTATTTCGGAACGCCATATATATAACAAACCAATCCACGCGCGCTTCATTGCCGTTGGCAACCTCCACCTTTAAATTGGTTAAATGTTACGAGCTCAATCAATTTAGCAAGTGAAGAGGAAGAATAAGAGTAGAAGATCGCATGCGTACGTTCAGTTAAAGAGGTCAAGAGGATATTATTTACTAGTACCGGTTGAAGGCGCAATTCCAATTTGCGTTTATTATGAAGAAACGGTTGTATTTCTTCTAGCACTTTGTATTTATAGTTTTAGTATATATAGGGCAAGCTCGGGAATGAACAAGTTCAGCTGATTTTAGGTCAAGTTGTCTTCTAGGTTAGAGCCGAGTGTTTGGGATCTGTTTCTCGAAGCTATCTAGTGTTTAAGCTTCCCGATTCACCCCTTTTATTTCCATTATCAATATATATATATATTTCGGTTGCTATCACTTAAACTAAACATCGATGGATCAGCCATAAATAATCGGGGCAAGGCAGGTAAAGGAGTGATCATTCGTAATAGCTCAGGAATTTTTGTTACGGCATTTACGAAAAATATCGAGGCTGCTACTAACAACAAGGCCGAAATGTAAATAACAATAATAATAATTATAACTATTATTATTATTATTATTATTATTATTATTATTATTATTATTATTTAATATTTTTCAAAAAGATTTTGAAACCGTTTGAACAGTCAAAACTCCAAAACTGTGGGAAATAACTAAATATATTAAGTTATATCTAATTTGGGAAATTACAAAAGAGAAAATCAAGTTCCCTCCAGATATTTTCAATTGCACTTTCTTCTTCTCTTCACCACACCGAGCAACTGATCGGCGACGCCGCCGACAAGAAACTAGAATTGAACGATGATGAATAACCCTCCAAACAACTCTATTGATGCCAAGCATCTCATCAGCCGGCGAATCTCCAGACCTTATGATTACTTGCGCGGCGGCATGAGTCATCTCCTCCGTCTGTTCACTGTCATTTCCGGCGCCGGCGAGACGCCGGTGATAGTTCAGATCCAGCACGACGGCGAAGCGAAGCAGTTCTCCTTCGAAGAAATCGTTTCCACGGTGGTGTGGATTATAGTCAAGGAAGCCAGAGAACCCGCCGCCGCCGCCGCTGGGTTCACTGCAGGAAACGACGTCGTTGTACTGGAGGATTTTATGAACGATTCCCAACGGCAGGCGGTGGTGAACGCCGCTAAAAGTGCCGGAATAGATGCAGCTGCTTTGCGCTTCGTAAATAACCCCGTATGTGCTGCGCTCGCTTACAATCTTGACACCGAGGCTTCGGAAAATGGGGAAAATGGGGAAACCCAATTGAACGTGCTTGTCTACAATCACGGCGGCGATGATCTGAGCGTATCCTTGTTCAGTATCGAAGAAGGCGGCGTTTTCCGTATGAGAGCCGCCGCCAGAAACGCAAATTTCGCCGGAGAAGAATTCACCAATCGGCTCTTGGATCACCTCATGGAGAAGTTCAACCGGAAGCACAACAAAGACCTAACCACCGCCACCGCCTCTCTCCGGCGGCTGAGGGAGGCGTGCGAGAGGGCGAAGAGGGTCCTGTCCTCGGAAACTCGAACGACAATCGAGATCGATTCGTTGTACGAAGGGATCGATTTCTACTGTTCGATCTCGAGGGATGTATTCGTGATCCTCACTATCGATTTGCTCGTAAGGAGTATGAACGCAGCCGTAGAGTGTTTGGCCTATGCTTGTGCTTTGTCCGTCGCAGATTGCGCCCACGTGGCGGTTCTTGTCGGAGGAACCTCGAAAATCCCGATGGTGCACCGACTTTTGCAAGGCTTACGCCTGGGCCCTAAAGACATCCGCAAGAGCATCGACCCCGTCGAGGTAATCGGGCGTGGGGCCCACGTATACAGAGAAGACGACGTTCAGTTCGAAAGGGTTGCGAGGATGTGGTTTCTTGATTTCACGCGCGAGAACATCGGGATCGCGACGGGAGTGGGAGATTCGGTGGCGGTTTTGATCCCGAAGAACACGAGCGTCCCGTTGAGGAGGGAGTGGATTGTGACGACTCGCTCCGATAATCAGCCGAGTTTGCAGATTCGGTTGTTTCTCGGGGGGACGGTGCCTATGGACAGGAACAACAGTACTGATGTAATGCAGGTGACCAGGCGGATTCCGCCGGCGCCACATGGCACCCCACTGTACAATCTGCGGATCGAGATCGTCGACTTCACGCTTACCGTGTGGTTTATGGACAATGTTTTCGAGATGACGAATCTGTGGAGAGCTCCATGGGGTGGTAATGATGTGGCAGTGGGTGGTCGTGCTGATGATGATGTGGCGCCGGTGGGAGATGGTGCTGATGTGGCAGTGGATGGTGGAGCTGACGTGGCAGCGGCTCTGGAAGCACTGGAAATTGAAGAAAGTGATTAAAGAAAATGTGTGAGAGATTGAGTGCATTTTTAGCAAATTAGTTTGTTAAAAGAAATAAGAAGCTTGTGAATAGTTGCAATTGATTTTGCTTTCAAAGTACTCTCTCTCTCTACTATGGTTTGTGATGATGTTATGTTTTCGAATTCTTATCGGATATTCATTTTTAATCGACTACCATATTAATCGACTGAAACATAGTCGATTAAATAATCGACTACTAAAATTGTTGTTGAATAACGAAGTAGTTGAAATGGCATTTTTTTTGTTGCCTATAGTCTATAAAAATATTTGGTTGGATTGTCTCAATAGAAAAAGCGTACGACAAACTCGAATGGAATTTTATTTGTGTGACCCTTCATAAAATAAACTTTCTAACGCTACGGATTGAGTGAATTATAGCATGTATCGACTCGGTTTCCTTATCGGTTTCCATTTACATTTTGTCAAGAGTTAGAATAATAACATTTTTGATTAAGCTAATTTAGTAACAATGGGAAGAGCCCCGAAAATATATTCTGATTTTTTTTTTTTTAATAACATATATTCTGATTTTCACCTTAATATAAAGTATATGTTACGTATACTATATAATTAATATTTTAAATATATTTTGAAAACAAAATGAATAATGAAAAAACCCAAAATATGAATTATTTAATCTCGCTTCAAAATTGAAATTACGGAAAAGGATTCCAGAACCATCTAACCAATCCTCATAACCGTATTTTCAAATCCACACCATTTCTTCTCCTTCTTCTTCTACTTCACACCGAGCAGCTGATCGGCGGCGGCGCCGCCAATTAAAAACGAAAATTGAAAGACGATGAATCCTCATCAGAACAATGCTTTTGATTTCAAGCGTCTCATCCACCGGCGAATCTCCAGACCTTATTACCAGAGCGGCGGCATGAATCTCCGGCTGTTTAAAGTAATTTCAGGCGCCGGCGAGAGGCCGGTGGTGGTTCAGATCCAGTACGGCGGCGAGGAGAAACAGTTTTCCTTCGAAGAGATTGCTACCATGGTCTGGGCTTCATATAAGCGAGACATAGAAGCTAGGTTAGGGTTTTCTGTAATAAGGAAAGCGTGGGCTCCATTTGAGGATTACTTTACCGGTTCCCACCTCCGGGCGACGGTGAAAACTGCTAATAGTGCAGGACTTCATATTGTCGGAATGTCATTCAATCCCGTTTCCGCTGCACGCGCTTACAATCTGGATAATAATGGAAGAAGCATTGTGTTGGTTTACAATCATGGTGGTTATGCTTTAGATGTTTCCTTTATGGTTATTGTGGAAGAGGGTTTCAATATGATTTCCGTTGCCAGGGACACAAATTTCGGCGGAGAAGATTTCACAAATCGACTCCTGAATTATTTCGCGGCGGAGTTCACCCGGAAGCACAACAAAGATCTAAACGCCGCTTCACTCCGGCGGCTGAGGGCGGCGTGCGAGAGGGCGAAGAGGGTTCTGTCCACGGAAACCAAGGCGACGATCCAGATTGATTCTCTGTACGACGGGGTCGATTTCTACGGTTCGATTACGAGGAATGTATTCGAGTCCCTCAACATGGATTTGTTCCTAAAAGTTAAAGACACAGTCGAAAGGTGTTTGACTGTCGCTAAGATTACGGACAAGAGCCATGTCCACGAAGTGGTTCTTATCGGAGGAACCTCAAAAATCCCGAAACTGCAGCAACTGTTGCAAGATTTCTTCGACGGTAAATACCTGCGCATGAGCATCGACCCCTATTTGGCCGTCAGTCAAAGGGTTGCATCAGTAAGAGTGGGGTTTCTTGATTTCACACGTATGGACATCGGCATCGAGACAGGGGACGCGGGGTTGATCACCGTTCTGATACCGAAAAACACCACAATTCCGGCCACGAAAGAGCGAATTCTCTTCCGTACCGACTCCAATAGTCAGTCGACTATGAAGATCCACGTGTTTCGTGGGGTTATCAAGGAAATTCTTATCCCCCCGGCACCACGTGGGGTCGTACAGTTCAAACTGCGGATCAAAATCGACGTTTACGGCACACTGAGTGTGTGGATATCGGACAGGATTGTTATGGAGATGAAGAATTACTCGACGTTTCTGAAACGGAGGAGCGATGCAATGCTGACGGATGTGAAGAAGAAGTTGGCGGCGAAAAGGGCCTTGTTGGAATATGCCTACAGCATGAGACATGCTTGTCATAGTGACGAGGATCATCCTTCTTCGGAACTGGAGAAGATCGAGATTGATATTAACGAGGTTATTAATTGGGTGAATGCGAACCCGTTGGTTGAAGTGGATGCGTACGAGGATAAATTGGACGAGTTGAAAGCTGCTTGCTTTCTCCTTAATCCTCATATTTGGCGATGGAGCTGATGTGGCGTGGCAGCCGGTGGTGGTGCCTGCTGATGTGGCGTGGCGGTTGGTGATGCAGTTGGAATAGAAGTTGATGAATTGCTGATTAGAAAATGTGTGTGAGAGATTAGGTGCTACTGTTCTTGTTTTGATCGAGTGATTTTTTATAGCAAATTAGTGTGAACATTTTTGCACAAGTTTGTTAATGAAAAAAAAAGCTTGATTTTGCTTTCAAGTGATTTTATAGCAAATTAGTGTGAAACATTTGTAAGTGATTTTGCTTTCAAGTGATTTTATAGCAAATTAGAGCTCTCTACTATGGTTGTGATTTTGGTTTCAAGTGTGAAAATGTGGTTTATTTTAGAAGAAACATAAAATGTGTTCAATTTGTTAAAAAATAGGTTTGGTTAAATAAAAATGGCTTAAACCAATCAAAATAGTTTAAATTGCTCAAAATGAGTTAAATGGGTCCAAACGGGTAAAGTAAAGTCAATGTAATGTGTTAATTGGTCAAAAATGATTTAGGGGGGGTTGGTAAATGAGCTTAGCCGCTCGTGAGGTCGATGAGTCGACTCGAAAAAAAGCTTGAACTCGAGTTTTTCGAGCTCGAGCTCACGAACTCGAACTTTTCTTTAATTGTCTGTGAGCTCACGAGTCGGCTCGTGATAGACCTGGCCACGGTTCAGTTCGGTTCCGGTTCCGATTTTGAAGGAACCGGAACCGAACCGAATCGAAAAAAATCCGGTTCCGGTTCCCAGTTCAGACCGTCCGGTTCTTAATTATTATTATTATTATTATATATATATATATATATATAGAGAGAGAGAGAGAGAGAGGAAATTAATATTTTCTTTTTTTAAAGCCGGTTCAAATGGTTCTAACCGTCGGTTATCGGTTCCGAAAATGAGGAATCGGAACCGAACCGGTTCCGAAAATGAGGAATCGGAATCGAACCGGTTCGGTTCTAAAACCGTTGACCCCGTTCGGTTTCGGTTCTAGTTCCGGTTCTAACTGAACCGATGATCAGGTCTAGCTCGTGAGCCTTATTTTTTTATTTTTATATATTATTTTTATTTAAATAATGTATAATAATATAAATTATTACATAAATAATATAGAAAGAATATATAAATACAGTTTATTGTTTATTTTGAATATTTTTATTATAATCTAAATATTTTTTAATGATAAAATTTAATAATTTTAAAAAAAAATTTAATATCAGCTTGGGCTCGATCTCGACCCAAAATAAATGAACTCGACGAGCTCGACATAATAAACTCGAACTCGAGCCGGCCAAAACATGCGAGCTCGTCTCGTTCACACCTCTAGTTAAATGAGTCGTAAATTATTTAAATCAATTAGCAAAAGTGAAATTGATAAATAAATAAATAAAGGGAATTAAATCGATCAAATTTAATTATTAAAAAAAAAAGTCAAAAATAGGTGAATTGGGTTGAAGTTGAAACGGCTAAAATCGGCAGAAAGGTAGTAGCTAGGGTTGATCTTCTTCCGGCGGCAATGAAGGTTTTCGTGGGGATGGCGTTTGGTTGGGCTTGTTCTAGGATATTCCGGCATCTCAACTCCGTTCGAACAATCAAAGCTGCTCAGCAAAAGAATATTCCTGAAACAGAGCCACTTGGTTCGTGATCATTCTTTTTCTCCGCTGTTTAATTTTCGCCATTTTTTAGTTTCCTTCAATTTTGATTTTCTTTTTTTTTTTTTGGCCAGAATTTACAAAGGAAACAAAAGATGATCCACATGCACATTTGCTAACGGAGATTGAATCCGTTTCCTCATTTTTGGATTATCCGATCGGAAAATATGAATCGAGTGTATTTTCAGCCGGCGGCTACAAATGGTATATATAAATATAATATATATATTATTTGTTGATTTTTAAAAATATTTATTATTAAATATTAATTGCTAAAAGAAATTCTGGATTCAGGAGACTGGTAATCTATCCTGATGGCAAGCATATCTCTGCATACATTGAAATGATTGATTGTATCCCTTGTTTGAAGGTTCATGCAACCTTCAAAATCTTTCTGTTGAATCGAACATCCGACAATTATCTTTGTTTCCGAGGTAAATTTAATTGAAAACCTATCGTAATTCCTTACACATTTTTATGTTTCTCCCGGATCTTAACTTTAGAAATGTTTCCGCAGGGACTGCGGCGACGGACTTTACTAAGTCAAGGGCGAAATGGGGATTTCGTAAACTGATCTCGGAGAGAATGTTGAGGGATGCATCGAACGGGTACATTGTTGATGACAAGTGTGTTTTCGGAGCTCAAGTTTCCGTAGTTGGAAGCGCAGCATCGTTTATTGAGATTTCAATTTCGCAGACGGTTATAATATCCAACAACGGTTTTGATTCCTTTTTGTTGCTTTTAAATTTGTATCTTGGTTGTCTAATTTTATGTTATTGGTGATTAAGTAGTAGAATCAAATTCATTTAGCAACTATATTCAGTGCGGTGCACCTATGTAGTTGATTGCCGATTCTTTCATTTAAAAAAAAAAAAAAAAGTTTCATTTAGCAACCCCTTAACAAACAAATTCCAAGATCATTGTTACTCAATTGATTTTTCTATACACAATTGTTGAATTCTACTTGTAATTTGATGCATGCATTGTGTAACATTATCAATAGTGGCATAATTCTCTAGCCATTATTACTTTATTGTAGCATATAAAGCATAAAGGACTTTCATATTTATTTAGGAAGAAATCATATGATGCTTCACCCTTACTATAAAAGTCGACAAAATATACGCTACGAAAAAACACCATAGAAATGAATATCCAGCTGAACCATACAAGTGAAACCACAGTTTACACATTTTTCGTCAGTTTTAAAGGAAGTGCCCAACGTAAAAAACACAAATACAGATGTAGCAACGAGATGCAGTTCAAATTCTCACTAAACCGTAAATAACCGGAATTAACATGTTAAATTCCAGGACTAGTGATGGAATCACTACCATGAACCCTCGGCACCAACTGTTGGATTTTTGAAAGCCGCAAAATCCCAGAAAGTCTTCAACGAGTATGGCTGAGAAATTGTGAAGCCTTCCTCCGTGATTTTTGCAATCTGTAAAAAAAATCGAAACCATTGTTAGTGGTCAAAGCCCTGTGCAAAAAAAAAAAAGTTAACCAAACTCAGACAAAAATATCAAATAATTGTCAAAGCCACAGTCATTTTAATTTGATTTCGCTGTCAAAAAGTTTTTTCGGTGTTATGTCATCACATAGATTAGATCACATCGTTGAATATTTAATTTATTTTCTGAAAATTCTTGAAGCAATTAATCTTCTGTTAAGTCTTAACTAACTCAAAAGGCACAAACGAAACATCTATAAAGAACTACATTTCAGGAGAACAGAAAACACAAGTTTTAGTTGCATGCTATAGTATTTTTTATCGGGAAATAGATCCCGTCTCTGAAAGTAAAAAAAAATGCTTCTTAACATACGAATTAAAATGATAGTTAGTAATTCAAACAGATTTTTTGATCAAGTTCGTTTCCAACCAAAAATCTAGACATTAGAAAGCGGTATTAGATAGAGAGAGAACTATGCTTGTAGAAGCAAAATCATATTAACCTCACCTGGAGTTTATTGACAGCAGATCTATCACGGTAGAGAAGCACACGCATGCACTTCTCGAGTAGTTTAACGCCTTCTTCATAAGTCAAATTCTCGTGCCATTCATCGCGAAGAATAGGCCTAGCCAGGTGGTTACCGAATCCAGTTGCAACATGGCTATCCTCATATTGCACACCAATCATGCTAACCTGAAAATACATCGCCAAAAAAGAATATACTCTCCATATCAAAACTAATTCAGTGTATATGCTAGTGTATATGTAGATGTTCAAGAAATAATACATACAGTTCCAAGATATTTCTGCCCGTTTTTAACACCGCCAAGTACGAGAGAGTTCCACAGTGGGTTGAACTTATTACGGCGGTTGTACATCACACGAGTCAGATAGTTATGAACCTCTTTAGGACCCAACGAGTTACCATCATCCCACATGTTATCGTACAAGCTACATCAAGAAAGCATGACAAAAAGCAAGAGTTCGTAAAGTTTCTACTTTATATAAGCAGTATCAAGTATAATCAGCCAAACCAAGATAAAGCAATCGAGATAACACTTACATAAGTTCATCAAGATAGCGCATTATCTCCTGAAAATCACTTATCTCACCACTGGCACCGATAACCGAATGTTTTCCCACTGGCTTCAATCGCTCCACGGTTTTGTAGCGAAGAGTAGAACCATACGAACCTATTAACAAAAGGCATTAAATAAGACTCAAACCTATGCAAAATTTTCTTTCTTTAGACTTGTAGCTGCGATAGTAATCTTTATTTTCACTCTTCACCTAAAAATACTGTTAACTTGGGAAAGTGAACCGATATAACTTGATGCACATCCACCAATATATATCATTGTCAAAAAATCTTCACATATTTCAATACATGAACCATCAGAAAGAAACACTTAGCTACGACGACTATTTGAATAGGATGTCTAGACATCCATTTTATGTTATCTCAGTTTGCAATATACAATTACTATAAGATAGACAATTATATCATTGAAAAATAACCCCATATTTGAAAAAAGAGATTACCAAAACTAAGTTAAAAAACCAAGATGTATATCTTAAGATCCATCATAGGAGATGGATCAAGAATCAAAATACATACTCTAAGACAGTTCACTTATTCAAACCCAGGGACTTTACGCCTCCTATTCGTATTTGTAAATTTATCCAACAATTAAATGAACTTATAATCAAAATAAGATGCAGGTTTCAGAATCAAACCTCCCATGTCAGCAGCTATGAGAATGCCATCTTTGTACTTGATGGCAACAACTGAGGTCCCAGTAACATATGGGTACCTACACAAAATCCCATTTAATCAAAAAAAAAAAAAATTAAATAAAGAAAAAAATCCCTCTTTATGAATCATCTATACATAAAAAATCAGGAATCGATGAAGTTAGTTTCTATCGGTATGCTTCCATAGCTTGCATAATTATTATACCATTCGAAATCAGCTAGTTAAAAACCCTAGTTTCACAAAAAACTAAAAAAAAAATAGAAATGCAATTATCAGATCTTTACAGGTAAATTAAGTGCATTAAAAGAGACAGAAATCGTACAGAGTTCTTTGGGAATCGCCTTCCGAACCGAGCAAATTCTTCATGGCTGAAGCTGAATCGGCGAACTGCAGCAATTAAAACCCCCAAAAAAAAAGCAAAAAATCAGAATAATTAGAAAATAAAACAGCCATCGCCTTCGATTACATGAATCGGAAACGCAGAACACTAAGCTTACATTCATTGTGGTGATTTGTTCAGCGATTCTTAAAAAAAAAATATTATTGATTTTTCAGGAAAAAAATTCTTAAATGAAAATTTGGTACTCCACGACTAAGAACTCGGTTTACCCTTTTCTCAAGAAATCGTTGGGCCAAGATTTTTGATTATTCTTTTGTTTGGGCCAACATTTAGAAGCCCATCATTTTACAATAGGCTGGTTTTAAAATGTTTGTTGTAAAATAAAATTACAAGTAATTCATTAAAAATACTAATAATAATAAAAAAAAATAAATAAATAAGGAAGCAAAATTTGGAAGTATTAGGTCCAAAAAAATAGTTATTTCTTCTTCATCAGCTTATTTTTTGAATTTTTAAGATGTTTCTGAAAATAAATTACCAAATACTTTGAAAGAGCTTATAAGCTCTTAACATCTCATAAGTTATTTTTAACAACTTATAAGGTTAGTCAAACACCCTCTTAATATAAGTTTGGTTATTTAGATTAGATCTGATATTAAATTTATTAAACTCGTTAATATTATTCTAAAACCACTCTTAATCAAGGTGAGGAATGCTACTCGGTGGCCTATGTCGCACGAAATAATCAAGGTGAGTGTTTGACTGTTTGTGGTGGGGCGTATACAACATTCACGGGAGACCGACACCTGTCAATGGCGGGGCGCACGCGGTGCTATTTGCACTAATGATGGCTCATATTAGGAAGGTTATCACCGCTTTGCGAAATAAAGACTGAGCCTGCTCAGCCTTATTCGGAGCCTTTTTATCGAAAGTTGTTTACTTATTGCGAGAGATTTTAATTTATGTAGTTTTGAATTTATTAAACGTTCAGGAAATTCGTTAGCGCATGCTATTGCTAAAAATCATGGTCATGTTTGTTAGGACATGGTAACTCTTCCCATAAATTTGGCGAATATCGCCTAATAATATTCTCGTTTCTCCTAAAAAAAAAAAAAAAAAAAAAAAAAAAACCGCTCTTAATCAATACGATGACAATAATGTGAGAGGGAAAAAACAATTATTTTCTTAATAAAGAGATAACAAGTTTATATATAATATTCACATATATATCAATGTAATCTTTGATAAAAGTTTACTGAAAAAAAAAATCAAATTAAGCTCGAGTTGCGAGTTTTAAAAGTCTGACAGATTTTAATCTGAATTCAATTGTTGGCCACTGTTTGGGGCACACATACAGGCCTTCCACATGTAGTGTGTTGGAAGAAATACAGGTCACAAATTGAATTTTCTATGATTTTTTTTATAGAATATTAATTTCTTTTATATTTATTAAATGTATCAGTGGCAACAACTTGTTTGGAAAAGAAATGCAAAAATCATTGTTTGGAAATTAAAATACAGGAGGACATATATTTAAAAAAAAAATTATTTTCCAAAAATAAATAAAATACGTTTGAACCGTAAATATGAAAGCAATTCGAGTAAATATAAGACATTTTCAACCATATATATATATATATATATATATATATATATATATATATATATATATATATATATATATAATATGTTGTAGACTTGTAGGGGCTCAGACGCTATAAATTGTTCTAAAATCTATATTAATTATATATGGCTAACATATGTTATTGTCGAAGATAAGGGCATCTCCAATGGAGTAAGCAAATCGGGTCTCCAAATTTTGTTTTGGAGACCCATATGAAGACCCGGTAAAATTTTCGAGTCTCTAAAAAAAAAAGTTTCACAGTGAAGGGCTCTATAGTTTTGAGTCTCTAAATTTATTTTACGATTTTTTTATATAATAATGTGATTAAGGTTTAAATTTTATTCATATGTGAGGTTTTAGATAATTAATTTATATTCCATCAATCATAATTACTTTTAATACACACTTTGATCAAATAAATAAAAAAATCTGAAAAGATATGATATATGTTCAAATATAATGAAAAAAGATATATACACCAATTGATCCCTGCCATTAATTATTTTATCTACATTTCTATAGAAAAATAATTCTAACAAATGAAATGACAAATTATTAACACAAATATATGTTCAAATATAATGAAAATAATAAATACATCTTTTTTCGAATTATATAAATATAAAATAAGCACCCCTTAAAAACTAAGAAGGAAAAACGAAAAAGAAATAAAAAGCCGTGGGACCCAGCAAATAGAGAGTCTCCAAATGAAATCACATATTTAGGAAAACATTTAGGAATTTGGTGAAAGTCTCTAAATTTGCATACCCACTAGAACTCTTGTTGGTGTTGCCTTTTTTTGCAGAAGTTCTATAATTTAGAGCCCAATGGAGTATAGAGCCTCCATTGGGGATGCCCTAATAGTACCTACTAAATCCAGAAAACATATAATTTGTTTTTAGAAATAGATTATAATTGGGATTCTCTCAGAAGATATGCCACATTAATTAAAAAATTAAGGCACATGTTTTATATTAATTATTAGTAAAAATATGATAATTTTAATATTAATTAATCTCCTCATGAGTGGAATAATTCAATTTAGGCTGCTCCACAGACATATGGGAATAGAAAGAGTCGCAAATGCTACAGTGTACAGATCAGTTTCAGATTTGATAAGCTGAATATAAGTGGACTGCACATGCTTAATTCAATATTTTAATTTTAAAAAAAAATTATATTTTAATTTTAATAAACAACTGTGACTATGGTACTTGCACCAACAGCTGGTCTACAAGAGAAGTCATAAGTTCGTAGTATTTATATATGGTATTTTCTAAGAATAAATACCTAGGTCAAACTATTTAATTTTATCAACAATTATGACTGCCGAATTAAAATATGATGTTCTAATCTTGTTTCTGTTGTTTTTTCTTATTTCTCTGCAAAAGTAAATTATTGCTCTTATTTTTTCTCGCTTCTTGTTTTTTGTGTTTATCTATCTTTCGTCCGGTTATACTGAGACAAAAAACACCATAAAATCATTGTTGTTCATCTATGAAGTTGTCCTACATTCACCGTACGTTTCAATTAACATTCTGATCAAGGTACCATCAAGATCGTCGTTAACCAATATATATTCAATCGATGGAAACCGGACGACCATCGAAACTTTCAGAAATTTTGCACACTTTTAAGCTCCCTGATGCTATGTGCATCATCAGAAGAGACATTTTTATGATTTAGATAACAACCCAAGTTGGTCTACTCACCTTGAGTTTGAAGAAGGCTTTTAGTATAAATAAAATAATTATTATACAGTTATATTTAGATTATCAGTTGTAGTTAAACTGTGATTTAGTCCGTAGGTCTTCGTCTTCCTCAAGCCAGCTCCGTCCGTACTCCGGTGGATAGACCTGCAACGCCGGGAGGGGTTCCCGGCGGGAAAGCTCCGACGATCAAGTCAGTGATCAGAACCGAAGAAAACTATGTATGTAATGTAACAGTAAATTTAAGTTGTTGTCGTGCGTGTGTGTGTTTTAATCCTTCTATTTATAGATGAGGGAAGACTTGGCCTCCAAGACTTCCCTTTTTCTAGGGTTTACCTTTACCTTCAAGTCACATATTTTGGGCCTGAATTGCCATGGGCTCGCTTTACCTCGTTTTAGTACTTGGCTAGCGAGTTGCGGTTCGTCCATACAGTTCTCGAAGTTTCTGCAATACGACTATTGGGCCCATAATATCGGGCTAAGCCATCATGGGCTCCTTGTCGTGGGTCTATCACAATGGGCTTAACCTAATGGGCTTACACTTATTTGTTATGTTGTCAAACTAGCCCGTATCAACTACTCCCCCCTACTCCTTATTTATAAAACAAGTCGGCTTTTCTTTACCTCGTTTTATAAGTATGGAGTACGAGGCATCAGTTCGCACTTCGATTTAGATTTACGTCGGCGTACGCAACCCCTTTTCCTTTTCCTCTCATTAATTGCTCTGACATCCCGCGTGGTCGGTTCAAGTTCCCTAGGTCATTATGAGAAGATTTCCATCAACGCTTTTTGCGCTAGGTTCGAGGTAATCTGCACTAAATCCTGTCCGTTCGGGTGGGCGGTTATGATTGGTTTTTCTTCTTTCCTAGGTCATTACTGGGGGATTCCAATCGACACTTCTTGCGCCGAATTCGAGGCGACCTACTTTGAATCTCACCCGTTCGAATAAACGGTTACGATCAAAGTTTCCACTTTTCCTTTTCCTATAAGTATCTGACTTCCACGAATTTTCAGAATTTTTTTCCTCTTCTTCACCTCTGCGCTCTCCCCATCTTTGTTTACCTCCGGCGACTTTGCTTCCCGAGAACCAAGTTCTTTCCCTCCCGTGCTTGTTTTCTTCTTCGACAAAGGTACTCCCCTTTTTACCCTACTTTTTACTATTCTTAGCCTATGTCTTCCAATTCCCCCGACCCTTTTGGTCAAAGAATGCCCTCCAGAGAGGGAGATGAACACCCTACCCTTACTCTTTCTTCTTCATCGGAAGAAGGGCCCTATTTTTCCCCTTCGGGTAATAAATTACTGAAAAAACCGAAGAGAAAAAGAAGAGATGACGTTTTGTCTTCCGCAAGGAGCGGCTCTCCTTCACTGTCTGAGGGACGCGATTTAGACGACCAGTGGGGGCTGTTGAGTGTAGATATTACACTCAATACGTTAACTTTACGTGGATTTTTTGTTTAGATTTAATTATATTTGTGCTTTAATTGATTGATTTTGTGTTTTATAGGTGAAAAACGAGAATTAGGTGTCCATGAAGGAAAAAAGATCAAAAAGAAAGGAAAAAGTTGCAAATAAGGAAACAAATCAAATTGGAAGAAGGAATCTCGCCACAGCTTTGACAGTGTCCACGATTTCGAGGATATCTCTCTCATACGAACTCCGAATTAGGTGATTTTGGCGGCATTGGAAAGCTAATTTCAAGGGCTACAATTCTTATTTACACAATATTCCAAAATTCGGACTCCAACATGGCGAAAATCGAAGAACAAGTCCTGATGGGGGAAAGTGGCGGAAATTGATTCCTATTAGGTTTCTACTACTTCCTTATCAAGAAAAGCCTATAAAAGCAACATGTCTTTACACCATAAGCACGAAATTTTACACCACAAAACGCGAAGAACGAAGATCAACGAAGACTCAAGCATAGTT